AAGGCTAATGAATGATTATACCTGGCTATGTATGGATTAGTTTGGATAGGGAAACAATTAAAAAGTATTCAAATAGGACACTTACTATATGTAAAAAATCAAATGATAATTGAAAACAAATGAAAACATAAATATTAACAATGAGTCAAAGTATAATAAATGGTTTGACAGTTTTATTTTAATTTCTGTATATGGATAACTTTTACAGAATAAACTAAGAAATGAGAGATGAAATCTCTTAAAAAAAAAACAGTGTTTCACAAAGATGGCTCATGACTCAGTGATAGCACCTTCAGATCACAAATGAAAGTCCTGGGTTCAATACTGGGTCATGTGAGATATTTTGCATATTTCCTTGCATGTGTGGCCCCTGTTCACCTAGTAGTAACTTGGTATCTATGTGTTATTTGACTGTTGTGGGTGGCATTCTGAGAAGTGACAGTATAATTTACATAGGGCTGAGCTCAGCCTGTAAATTAAAGTGAACAAAGTAGTGCAGGAATGATAGAGATATCTAAGAGTAAAAGGAAACCAGATAACCAAACAACTGGTGCTGTTGAAATACAAGTCCAGAGGAAGGAACTGTATGGTATATGAAATATTAATCTTGTTTTGTAATTTCTAAGATTTTGTTAAATTTTAAAATTAAGTAAGCTATATCAACATTATGGTCTTCCCTCTACAATGGTACTTTGATACTAGTAAAAAGCTTTTGATTTAAGGAATAGAATCCATCCTCTCATTTCTAGAATTGAAGCTGATTGCAAAACTGAATATATCCTTCCTTTCCTTGGACCAAACCTGACTGCTTCCCATTCCCAAAGGTGCTGTATAACCCCTACGAGTTTAGTGCTGCTCCTGTGAAGTAATAATTATATCATGGTTTATAAATTAAAATTAAGCTTAAAGGAACAGATTAAATTTACATTATTCAAAATGTAAGCAAATACTGGACAGTTAAGGAATAAGCACAGTAACTTGACCCATCTCTTCAGTGTATGACACAAAAGATTCAAAAAGAAAAAGGTGTACTGATGTGTTTAAGTATGAATTAGTAACACCTCTTGTAAAGGACTGAGAAAATGCTCTTTACAAATTGACTGTACTATATGCAAAAAACATGAACATGTGATACAAGATGCACAACAACCACAAGGGGAGTTGAATGATAGCTCTAGGTCTTTTGTGTTTCACTCAACACATCAGGAGCTTGAAATAGGTTTATATGTAAAAATTTGCACAGAGGTAACATACAGCAATGCTATATTTAATATACAGTAAAAATTTGAACCTCTGTGGTTTACAGATGGATTAAAATACAATGAAACCTCGGTTTTGTATGCCCTAGTTTGTATGTAAAACAATAATTATTCTCTATAAAATGAATTTTTTGTTAATATTTCCCGTAAGAAATGATGCAAATCCAATTAATCCATTCCAGACACCCAAAAATATTAACAAAAAATACATTTTACAGAACATAACCATAGTTTTACATACAAACTAGGGCATTCGAAAACCGAGGTTCCACTGTACTGACTTCAGCCTTGTGAATAAATATAGACTAATGTTCAAATACAACATTAACAAACTTTGATTATGCCCACAGAAACATGTAGGAAAACTATAATGACTTAAATTTCTTAAAAGTATAATTTTTTTTTTTGTCAAATGCAAGTGTTACACACAGCTCAATCATCACCACAATTTTCTTTTAAATTATGAACATGTACAATAAATTAAATGCCAGTGTAGTGCCCACTGCTGGACAGACTAGTTTAAAAACTTTCCTATTAATCCACAAATCCTCTATGGCACATTATTCAATATTTAAATTTGCATACCAAATAAAGTACATATATCAAAACATTGTGTGCTAAACCCTTTTCTTTACATAGCTTAATTTTGATCAGGCAAACAGCATGGATGACACCTAGCATTGTTTACACAGTAAACAAGTTAATAACTTCATGCATGTGCTCACACATGCGAGCAAACACACACATGCATGCATGCATACACACACACACACACACACACACACAAACAGTGGAAGCAAACTCCATACAGGGGTTAAAATAACATGGCAGTCAGTCGAGAGTTATGACAGTCAGTCGAGAGTTAAGAGGCTGGACTAAGAACTCTAGCTCACCTCCCAACAAACTTGAACAGTTACAATACAGCACTTACAATTACAGCAGATAGTTACACACACATGCAGTATGACTGCCTCTTATTTGTTGTTACTAGAGTAGAGCTATGCTCATGGCATATCATCTTTAAATTTAATATGCTGATTGTCAGAGTCAACAACTTATCATATTTTTATCCACTCTTCCTTGCAGAAGTCTGGTCTTACTGATATGGCACTGCAGCCTTGCATTTTCAGTGTGTGGGTGTGTGTGTACTCACGTAATTCACCTAATTGTGGTTGCAGGGGTCGAGACTCAGCTCCTGGCCCTGCCTCTTCACTGAATGCTACTAGGTCCTCTCTCTCCCTGCTCCATGAGCTTTATCATACCTCGTCTTAAAGCTATGTATGGTTCCTGCCTCCACTACATCACTTGCTAGAGTATTCCACTTCCTGACTACTTTATGACTGAAGAAATACTTCCTAACATCCCTTTGACTCATCAGAGTCTTCAGCTGCCAAGTGTGACCCCTCGTTTCTGTGTCCCATCTCTGGAATATCCTGTCTCTGTCCACCTTGTCTATTCCATGCAGTATTTTGTATGTCTTTATCATGTCTCCTCTAACCCTCCTGTCCTCCAGTGTTGTCAGGCTGATTTCCCTTGACCTTTCTTCGTAGGACATTTTCCTTAGCTCTGAAGCTAACCTTGCCGCAAACCTTTGCACTTTCTCTAATTTCTTGACGTGCTTGACCTGGTGTGGATTCCAAACTGGTGCTGCATACTCCAGTATGGGCCTGACGTAAATGGTATACAGAATCTTGAACGATTCCTTACTGAGGTATCGGAATGCTATCCGTAGGTTTGCCAGATGTGTGTGGTGTGGTGTGTGTGTGTGTGTGTGTGTGTGTGTGTGTGTGTGTGTGTGTGTGTGTGTGTGTGTGTGTGTGTGTGTGTGTGTGTGTGTGTGTGTGTGTTGTGTTGTTTGTGGTATGTGTGGTAAGTGTGGTGTGTGTGGTGTGTGTGGTGTGTGTGGGGTGTGTGTGGTGTGTGTGGTGTGTGTGGTGTGTGTGGGTTGTGTGGTGTGTGTGTGTGTGGTACTTACCTAGTTGAGGTTGCGGGGTCGAGTCCGAGCTCCTGGCCCCGCCTCTTCACTGATCGCTACTAGGTCACTCTCCCTGAGCCGTGAGCTTTATCATACCTCTGCTTAAAGCTATGTATGGATCCTGCCTCCACTACATCGCTTCCCAAACTATTCCACTTACTGACTACTCTGTGGCTGAAGAAATACTTCCTAACATCCCTGTGATTCATCTGTGTCTTCAGCTTCCAACTGTGTCCCCTTGTTACTGTGTCCAATCTCTGGAACATCCTGTCTTTGTCCACCTTGTCAATTCCTCTCAGTATTTTGTATGTCGTTATCATGTCCCCCCTATCTCTCTTGTGTGTGTGTGTGTGTGTGTGTGTGTGTGTGTGTACTCGCCTAGTTGAGGTTGCAGGGGTCGAATCCTAGCTCCTGGCCCCGCCTCTTCACTAGTCGCTACTAGGTAGCGCATGTGTGGTGTGTGCGTGGGTGTGGTGTGTGTGAGAGAGGGAGAGAGAGAGAGAGGGGGAGGGAGAAAAGAGAGAGGAGGGGAGGGGAGGGGAGAAAGAGAGAGAGGGGGGAGAAAGAGAGAGGGGGAGAGGAGAAAGAGGAGAGGGGGGAAGAGAAGAGAGGGGGAAGAGAGAGGGGGAAGAGAGGGGGAGGGGGAAGAGAGAGGGGGAAAGAGAGGGGGAAGAGTGAGGGGGAAGAGTGAGGGGGGAAGAGAGAGGGGGAAGAGAGAGGGGGAAGAGAGAGGGGGAAGAGAGAGGGGAGGAAGAGAGAGGGGAGAAGAGAGAGGGGAGGAAGAGAGAGGGGAGGAAGAGAGAGGGGAGGAAGAGAGAGGGGAGGAAGAGAGAAGGGGGAAGAGAGAGGGAGGGAAGAGAGAGGGAGGGAAGAGAGAGGGAGGGAAGAGAGAGGGGGGAAGAGAGAGGGGGAGGAGAGAGGGGGGAAGAGAGAGGGGGGAAGAGAGAGGGGGGAAGAGAGGGGGGAAGAGAGAGGGGAAGAGAGGAAGGGAAGAAGAAAGGAAGAGAGGGGGAAGAGAGAGGGGGGAAGAGGAGAGGGGGAAGAAGAGGGGGAGAAGAGAGAGGGGGGAGAAGAGAGAGGGGAGGAAGAGAAGAGGAGAGAGGGGGGGGGAGAGAGGGGAGGGAGAGAGGGGGAGGGGAAAAGAGAGGGGGGGGAGAGAGAGAGGGGGGAAGAGAGAGAGGGAAGAGAGAGGGGGGGAGAGAGAGGGGAGGGAGAGAGAGGGGAGAGAGAGAGGGGGGGAAGAGAGAGGGGAGGAAGAGAGAGGGGGGAAGAGAGAGGGAAGAGAGAGAGGGGAAAGAGAGAGGGGGAAAGAGAGAGGGGGGAGAGAGAGAGGGGGAAGAGAGAGGGGGGGAAGAAGAAGGGGGGAAGGGGAGAGAGGAGAGGGAAGAGAGAGGGAGGGAAGAGAGAGGGGGGAAAGAGAGAGGGAGGGAAAGAGAGAGGGGGAAAGAGAGAGGGGGGAAAGAGAGGGGGGCGAAAGAGGATGGGGGGAGAGCTGGGGGAGCGAGATGGGTGAGATGAGTCTGGGGGCGAAGTTTGGGAAGAGAGTGGGAAGAGAGGAGAGAGGAGAAGACGAGGTGGCTAGGAGAGATTCGATGCCTGTGCGAGTGAGGACCGGAGACGAGTGAGAGTGGCGAGAGTGTTATATTCCTTGGGCGTTGAATTTGACTCCACTACCATGCGATCACCATGTTCGTAATCTTGCAAACAAGGCAGCCAGGAAGCTTACAGCACTCGCCGTATCTCGCATCAGCTTGACAGTAGGGGTTGCAAGATCCTGTACGAGGCACAAGTACGCTCACACCTTGAGTATGCTCCACTTTCTTGGTTTGCCTGCCCCCCCTCTCATCTGCGACTGCTTGACAGAGTAGAGAACAGAGCAAGACGTCTCATCTCTCGCCTGGACCCATCCTGGATAGATCTGTCATTTCAGCAGAGCCTTCAACATAGGAGGGATGTGGGTGGCCTTACTATTATGTACAAGGCCAATATTGTCAAAGTACCACACTTGGATCCACTTCGAGGACAGTGTGAAACAAGCTTTTATGCCACAAGATGGGCAGAAAGCAGCAACTTCACTCTGGCTGTATACTTCTCCAGAACATCACTCCATCTGAGATCATATATACCCAGGATGACTCGAGTATGGAACACATTCGTACAACATAATGATGTCAACGAGATAAAGTCAGTTGATCAAATGAAAATGCTGGCCCACAGATGACTCCAACTTCATCCTGTTCCCTACTTGTATGTCTCATAACAATAAAAATGCTTTCAAATGAGCTGATGTAGGTAACAGCTCTTAGCTTGCCAATAAAGTTAGGAATCCTTAACTTGTAAATAGCTTGTCAATAAAGCTAGGGATCCTTAACCTTGTCAAACCTTGTGTACTAAATGACTTTGTAAAACCATTAGTTTACCTGTATGTTTATAAAATAGCAATACTATATACCAAATTTTAACACTCTTGTCATATAAGCTGCATCTCCAAATATCATCAAAATCTTTATCATTGCTTGAATTTTCCCTCCTGATTTTACTAAATGTGATACACAATTTTCCCTTTTTGCCATACACAGCTGAACATTTTCCTAATCATTATGCTGACAACTACTCAAGTTTTCTCTCACAATTTCACCATTTCTCTCACTTATATTTCATTTTACCCCTTGGCGTAGCTCCCTGTAAGCTGCCGATGATATCGTCGCATGTTGTGAATATGTAGCAAATAAAGGATGCGAGGGCTTGGTACTATAAACTGTAGTGGAGTATTTTGTTGGAGATCTGTACACTGCTTCATGCCCAAAAATGTTGGTGTGTGTGTGTCTACTGACTGGTGAGACAGCTGTTGAAGGCATTTTAGTGGGACTTATTTTTTGAAGTGATGCCTGTAAATAAGAAAATATTAAATTTATTAAAATTTAAGACACTCATTCATTGATATTATAGGCAAGTCTGTTAGTAATGCTCATTTTTTTTTACTATCAATGACAATTTTGATTTTTGTTTGGATAAATAATATAATGCATATTATACAGAAGTATAGGTTAGGTAAGATTCATCATAACACAGTACAAGTGTTTCCTGATGTAGGTCTTAGTCATATGATGACCCACCATTGGAGCTTTTGGTCATCTGACTAAGGCCTTCCACTTCCACTGGCTTAACAGTCCACCATTTTAAAAATTAAGGTTATAATAATAGCCATTAGTTATACAGACATCATAAATATGCATGTACATATGTAAGCTTTTATCAGAGTTTTTGCCTGACAGTTTTACGAAGACATTGTTCCTTGCTACACTGCCAAAGACAAAGAATGACTAAAATATTGTAATTTACTATAAATTAATGACTGCCCTGAAAATCAATCGACTTAAATCTGAAAAAAAAAAACATTGAGAACCTTATTAAATGTAAGTTTCAAGGCATGGACATGTCTTCTAACCCCAAAATCTTGAGTGCCAGTAAGCAGGTGTGGCAAGGTATTGACTTCTATCCTCCATAAACTAGTCTTATCAGTGCCTAGGAGACTTCAAAGTGCATCAAGAAGCAAGGTAATCCTACAAAATAATAGCCTAGGTAGGAAACCCACATATATTTTATTTTATTTCTAAGACAGTAGGTTATGGTGAGAGGTCTCATTTTCTTTCGTGAAGTGTTTATGCATGGGCATATTTATGATGCCTACCGTGAAAATAAATATACTCTATATATAAACTGAACATATACATATACCTGTATAACTTTAATAAAAAAATTAATACTGTGTTATAAAACACAAAATAATTCAGTCAACATGCAATATAATAAATAATAAAACTTACCTTTTAATAAGTGGTTTTATATATTGATAAATTAATACTGTACCATAATTTTTCCCATACGACAAGCTAATCAAAATTTCCATGCACTTTTAAGTAATGTATCCATTATCTTCTACGACAACCATACTCGTGCACAAGTGCACATCCTATCTGATGGAAAGGAATATGATGTAAAACAAAATGGTTGTATAAATCTGAAGTAGAAGTTGGGAGGGGCAGGGAGGTCATTCCAGGAATGGTTGGAGGCTTTGATGGATATGCTGCTGGAAAGTGAACAGGTAACATTTATGAAGGGATTCATGGGAACTGGTTAGCTGGACTTAAGTCCTGGAGGTGGGAAGGTTAGTGCCTGCACTCTGATAGAGGGGAAGGGATGTTTCAGTCAGAAGGTAATCCTAGATGTGATGTCAACAAACTTCTATCAAGACAGTACTTGTATGAATGATTGTGAATGTATTTCCTCTTTTGTGGTCACTCTTACTTTGGTGGAGATGGCTACTGAGTAAAAAAATGTTAATAATAAAGATATGAGGATGCATGAGATAATTGCAATATTTGGAATGGGATGTTTCAGAGTGCATGCATAAAAAATCAAATGATACTGAACCCTAGTTTTGATTTCTATGTTTACACACAGACTCAACAAATACATACAATACAGAAATCTGTTCAAACTAGCACCAAAATATTGGGAAATTAGCACATAATAGGACTGCCTCTAACATGTAAATTTTTGAGAAACTGACATGTCAACCATTTTTACTTAGCATATCTGATCATTTATTTTTGCTTACATAAAGCATTACTGTATTTCTCTAAAAAACAAGTAGGTATATGTATTCCTTTTATTTTTTGAGAAACCAGCATGGCCTCATGCTTGAGCATGCCAGTTTTTCAAAGTGTACTGCAAACTGTTAAGTATTACCTGAGAACAATTTATTAAGTATTTATTTTATTATACTACAGGTCGGCCATCACAAATCTGGCAATCAGTCATCCGGTTCCATCAGTTATCCGGCACTAATTTCGGCTAGGGTAATTTCAAATTTCCAGGGTCGCCACACCAACCTGCTACTACTGTTTGGTGGTGCTACTTGCTGCATAAGTCACTCCAATTTCTTTTTCTCCATTTATTGTTATAACCTGCTTACTTTTAGCCCTAGCCATGTTTCCAACAAATAAAAGAAATGCTTCTTGTTTTGTAAAGCACATACACAGTACAAAGATAAGGTGACTTTGAAGACACTGTCAGTTGCCATGAGCTCAGTCTCGTGATGCAGGGGAATATACTTTATTATTATGCTAACATCAACACTACGGCTTATTTACCTATCGCAATTCATCTAATATGACATAATAAATAATTTTTTTTTCAACAAGTCAGCCGTCTCCCACTGAGGCAGGGTGACCCAAAAAGAAAGAAAATTCCCAAAAGAAAATACTTTCATCATCATTCAACATCTTCACCTCACTCACACATAATCACTGTCTTTGGAGAGGCACCCAGATACAACACTTTAGAAGCATATATAACATACCTCTCCAAACTTCCCTGCTCACACTCCAACAGCTCGTCAGTTCCTAAAAACCATCTGTCTCCATTCACTCCTATCTAACACGCTCACACATACTTGCTGAAAGTTCAAGTGCCTCGCCCACAAAACCTCCTTTACCCCCTCCCTCCAACCTTTTCGAGGACGATCCCTACCCCATCTTCCTTCCTCTACAAATTTATATGCTCTCCAAGTCATTCTACTTTGATCCATTCTCTCTAAATGACCAAACCACCTCAACAACCCCTCTTCAGCCCTCTGACTAATACTTTTAGTAACTCCACACCTCCTAATTTCCACACTCCAAATTCCCTGCATAATATTTACACATTGTCCTTAGACGGGACATCTCCACTGCCTCCAGCCGCCTCCTCGCTGCAGCATTTGCAACCCAAGGTTCACACCCATATAACATGAATAATGTTTTTTGTCTCCACAGATGCCTCAACGCACCACTCGCCTTTTTCCTTCATTAATTCAATGGTTAACCTCATCCTTCATAAACCCATCCACTGACAAGTCAACTCCCAAATATCTGAAAACATTTACTTACTGCCATACTCCTTCTCAATATTTCATGTGATATCCAATTTTTCTTTATCTAAATCATTTGATACCCTCATCACCTTTCACCTTACTCTTGTCTATGTTCACTTTCAACTTTCTACCTTTACACGCCCTCCCAAACTCGTCCACTAACCTTTGCAACTTTTCTTTAGAATCTCCCATAAGCATAGTATCATCAGCAAAAAGTAACTGTGTCAACTCTCATTTTGTATTTGATTCCCCATAATTTAATCCCACCGCTCTCCCCAACATCCTAGCATTTACTTCTTTTACGACCTCATCTATAAATATATTAAACAACCATGGTGGCATTACACATCCCTGTCTAAGACCTGCTTTTACCAGGAAGTAATCTCCCTCTCTCCTACACCCTAACCAGAGCCTCACTATCCTCACAAAAACTCTTTACAGGATTTAGTGACTTACTACCTATTCCATACACTTGCAACATCTGATACATTGCTCCCCTATCCACTCTATCATATGCCTTTTCTAAATCCATAAATGCAATGAAAACTTCCCTATTTTTATCTAAATACTGTTCACATACATGCTTCAATGTAAACACTTGATCTACACATCCCCTACCCACTCTAAAGCCTCCTTGCTCACCTGCAATCCTACTCTCTGTCTTACCTCTAATTCTTTCAAATATAACTCTACTGTATACTTTTCTCAGTAAACTTATTCCCCTATAATTTTTACAATCTCTCTTGTCCCCCTTCCCTTTATATAAAGGAACTATACATGCTCTCGGCCAATCCCTAGGTACCTTCCCCTCTTTCATACATTTTTTTTTTTTTCAACAAGTCAGCCATCTCCCACCGAGGCAGGGTGACCCAAAAAACAAAGAAAATCCCCAAAAAGAAAATACTTTCATCATCATTCAACACTTTCACCACACTCACACATTATCACTGTTTTTGCAGAGGTGCTCAGAATACAACAGTTTAGAAGCATATACATATAAAGATACACAACATATCCCTCCAAACTGCCAATATCCCAAACCCCTCCTTTAAAGTGCAGGCATTGTACTTCCCATTTCCAGGACTCAAGTCCGACTACATGAAAATAACCGGTTTCCCTGAATCCCTTCACTAAATATTACCCTGCGGAAAAAGGGTTACTAGCTCATTGTTCCCGGCATTTTAGTTGACTTTTACAACACTCATGGCTTACAAAGGAAAGATTCTTATTCTTTTTCCCCATGGATATGAAAGGAAAAGCAATAAGAACAAGAACTATTACGATATTATCAAAGAAAACTCAGATGAGTGTGTATACAATAAACATGTACATGTATGTTTGGGTATACACAAATACAGATACATAGATTATCAAACATAGCAGCATGTATAGAGAACCTAGGATAACCCAAAAAAGCTAGACAAAGTGATTTATTTCTATTGCGGGCCTTAAAGACCATCGTGTAGTTGATGGGCTTTAACGCATAATAAACCAGCTAGCCATTTTGTATAACAAACCAGAAACAAGAACAGATCTTGCAAGAACTTTTGCAAGATCTGTTCTTGCAAGAGTTGCACTGTAGCAAAGGTTCAGTGCAACGCTTGTATAAACCTTGCTGAATTTAAACAGCACTACAGAAGAAATACTAACAAAATAGCTATGAGTTTGGTAGACTGAAACAATGGAATAGGCCAAAAATAGGGCATAAATTGGGTAATCCGGCAGTCACTAATCCGGTACCCTACAGGTCCCGATGATGCTGGATTTGTGATGGCCAACCTGTATATCTTTTTTTCAAAATGGCCCCATGAGATTCTAAGAAATAATTTTTTGCTCTAAAAGCATACAGTACAGTACTTAAACTGTAAAGCATTATATTAATTCACGTGAATGCATACAATAAGCAGAAAAGTGTGAAACATGCAAGGTCTACTTTCAAGCACAGTACACGAGAGATTGTGTGTGTGATACTATGAGTAGTTGCTCAGTCTTGCAGTCTACCTGTGTGCAACTTGAAACTCACACTACAAATACGAACACACACGAATGTCAAGACAGGACAAGATTACTCTTAGTAAAAACATTTTTCTTATGTGGAAACATTAACACAAACAAAATATGATGCACATGTACAGTACTTAATGAAATCTTAGATACAGTGTTCAAACACATTTTATTACTTACGATTTCATTTTTTATACCTTGCAATGTGTAAAGGTTTTGTTTGGTTGCAAATATAAGAGAGAGAAAGAGTTTTCAATCCAAATCCAAGATGACAGCAAAGCTAGCACCGAAGTAGACTTCACCAGACTGCTTAATGAAGAGTCATATCTTAAATAAGAGGAATTTTGTGATATAACAAAGTATATGGCAGTGCAGATGAGATGATGAAAGAAGCAACGGTGACTAAGAAAAGAGATATTGTAGTTAAACATGGACATTAAAACTAAAGAAGGAAGATAACTGAGCTGTGCTAAAGGCAAATTTGGAGTGTGCATAGTGTTTAGAATAGTATACTGCATACAGAAATGTCCTCAATATGTTGTGAGATATACTCATAAATCAGTGGCTGAATATCAGTGCATAAGTGCAATAATACGACAACCTTCCCTTTTCCCACCAAGGTTAATGTTACAGTTGAAATTTCTGAACTAAGCTAAAAATTTGTTTCAATAACTGGACTCTCCAAATTCTTTTGATACCCTGTGCAAAGCTGCAATAATTCTAGTTTATATGTACAAGAAAGCAGCAATATTTAGTCTGCAAACACTTAGAAAAAAAATACTTGAGTGCAGTATTGTATAATCATAAGTATAGAATTGGCAAAAAAAGTGATCTGTGAGGTTAATCTTTTAGAATTACAATTAAGCAACCTCAAATTATGTTTGATGAGTCGAGCTATGCTCACAGTATCCCCTAATTTTTATTTAATTTGATATCAGTGTTTTAAGCTTCAAAGGTTTTTGGCATATTCTACCTCTTTTTTTTTTTTTTTTTTTTTTTTTTGTTGAAAAAATCTAGAACTAATTACAGTACTTATTTTTAGTTATAAAAATAAAGATATGCTTTTGAGACCTTCTCTTTAAAATATTTAATAACAAACTAAATGCTAAAGTTTTCAGATGTTGTGGAGGGCACCTTGATGTCAGGTAAGGGGCTCTTGATCCAAACAAGTGGTTTCCCTTATGTTCCATGGATCGAGCTTGAATGCTTAGCATTCCCCAGGCACTACATGACCCCTGTGGGTTGAACACTTCCCAATGTTAAATGAATTCCAGTTATTGCAGTACATACAATACTTCCTCCTTCTGGATCTCATTCCAGTATACGAACACTTTGTAAAACAATATTTTAGTATCCATTTGGTATTATTATTTTCTCCAGTATGACCTATTATTTCTTTCTTAATGGTTTTAAAAAATCTTTATTTATCAAAATTTTATAATCAAAATTATAATCAGTTTTATAATCAGAATTTTTGAGCTTACCATGTCTTACATTTTTTTCCTATCAATCCACAAAGAAATTTTAGTGTTTTAAGTCTTTCTTCATCACTACTGTTATCTCTGTTCTGAGTGTCATATCTTGTGAACTTTTTCCACATTACATTTTTCAGGTGAAGCCACCCACTTCTATTACATATTAAAATTGTTGTCTAACATACAATTAGAACAGCATTTTAAGTATTTCCCCATCCACATATCTGAAACCTTTTAGGAGTTTACCAGCATAGTATACGAGTTTCTCAATATTTCATTTGTAAAATTTTATAAACTTGAGTGACAATCTTTTATTTATTATTACAGAAAAAATACTTAGAGATCCCTCTATCTGTCCAGTGATTTCAATGTTCACACAATCAATATTAATATTTTCATGTGCTCTGTTATCACCTTATTCTATTTACATTATATGTCCCTTATATGTATCAAATTACATCATCCATCCATCACTTCATTAGCTTGATTTTTTTTTTTTTTAGAAAGTTTGGTCATTTCCCACTGAGGCAGGATGACCCAAAAAGAAAGAAAAAACTTTCATCATCATTCAACATTTTAACCATCACTCATACATAATCACTGACTTTGTAGAGGTGCTCAGATATGACAATTTTGATGTCCCTCCAAACTGCCAATATCCCAAACTCCTCCTTTAATGTGCAGGCATTGTAATTCCCATTTCCAGGACTCAAGTCTGGCTAACCGGAAGCCTTGTATATATTGTGTATTAATCAAGGAAAGAATATGAAAAGACATATCATATTAATATTGTGTGGCTATATGCATCTTACATCAGCACTCCAGCCATATTCTGAAGGCTACACTGACAGATTTTCATTTAATATTTTATCCAAAGCTTTCTCTTCAATTATAGAACTGCATCAATTTAGTGCTGTCCATCAGCAAAAATATTATGCATAGATTATATACAAATGGAACAACGAAAAAAGACTTTACTGACTAAATTTGTAGGCAGGAAAATAAATTTTTCTTAGGTCCCAAGAGCCAATAAGATATTTTGCAAGTTAGCTCCAAAAATTGCATTTTAATTATAGATTTCCCATATATACAGTAGTTAATTTTTTTAGATAAATGTGAGAGCTACATACTTTGTAAAGGATGTAAACTTTTCCACTAAATCTACTTTGAATATGATAGCAGCATCAGTGCACCATGACATACTCACTTGTTTGTTATAACTAGTAATAACCTTGGTGGGTGAACCCTCATTTGCAGCAGGGAAGGTGAGGGATACAGACCTAGTGAAAGGCCCACGCTTCTCACCTGACCCACCTCCCCCACCAACTGTCACTGTCACTCCTCCTGATCTTGCTACAGGCACTACCCCACCCATGGCATTAACTCCTTCAAGACTCCGATGCTTTTGCGATACATCTGAAATAAAAATACAAACTTTCACATGCAGTAAATCTATGATACAGTGGCTAACTGTATAATAAAATAAACTCATACACAAACAACCCGAACATAAGAGAAAGTAACTTATGACAGCATTTTAATTGGACTTGGAACATTAATGAGTCACACACCAGTCCATGTGCAGGTTATATGCCTGTTGTTCCAGTCATGGTATTGTGCCTTTTTATTCAAAATAAACTCATCCTTATCATCAATAAGCACATACAATAATTAGCTATATAATCACACACCTGTAGGATGCTGACTGTAGGTTCTTTCACGTCTTTTCTCTGGTGTTAACTCTGCAGGCTTCGAGATTACAGGAGATATAGACTTGTGACGACCATTGCTGGCTGGACTAGAGCTACATGATGATTTAGCTGATGATTTGGCTGAAGATTTATCACTATCTTTTGAGGACTGGCGAGCACATTCTTCAAAGTTACCCACGGAGTGTCTATCTAGCTTGCGTGCAACAACTTTTACTTTAATGGGCTGATTTGTTTGAAAGGTCTGTGTACCTCTTATTGGGGTGAGGTGATTTGTATTTTGAGAATTTGAAGTATTATTTTGGTTATTATACTTAGATTGTGAGCTGCTGTGATCTTTTGAGTTGTGAGCAACATTTGCCTGACTGGTATTGCTTCTTGAACTGTAGACACCATTAGCCCGCTCACTACTCGATGAATTCTTTAAACGAGTTTTTCTAGAGGCAATTAATTCATACAATTTGTTTCGGTAGATATCAACACTAAGCTGCACATCATCACGAATACAAGGCACCACTGCATGCTCCAGGCAAGGCTCATTAGCAACATTGTGAAATCTGTTAATAGAAACAATACATGTAAAGGAGGTAAATAATCTTGTGTGAAAAAAATATACAGGCATGTCTTATCAACTTTCTGCTTTCCAAATCAACATATAGTTCTGCCAGTGAAAACCACATTGCATAAAAAATATGTACAAGTAAAAAACAGCAAAAAGATTTCAGGTACGTCTTGCTACTTCTACTAACACTTAGGTCACACTACACATGCATATACACACATATGTATATGTATACACACACACACACCTGGGTTTTCTTCTATTTTCTTAATAGGTCTTGTTCTTCTTTATTTCTGCTTCTTTCCATGGGGAAGTGGAAAAGAATTCTTCCACCATAAGCCATGCCTGTCATGAGGTGACTAAAATGCCAGGAGCAAGGGGTCAGCAACCCTTTCTCCTGTATAAATTACTAAATTTTAAGAGAAACTTCTGATTTTTTTTTCAGGGCACCCTGCCTCAGTGGATACAGCTGGTGTGTTGAAAAAATATAATAAAGAGAAATGCAACAATGCACTTAAAAAAAAATATTTGTTCTATTATGATGTATACATAATTTGCTTTATCCCCTATAGTTGGGAGAGGAAATAGTAAGCAATAGAGGTGATATCAGTTTTAAAGTTAACCCTTTGAGGGTCGACAGGCCCTCTCCAAGACTCGTTCTCAGGGTCGGCCAAATTTAAAAAAAAAAAAAAAAAAAAAAAAATTCTTATGAAAGATAGAGAATCTTTTCCCGATCATAATGACACCAACAATATGAAATTTGATGGAAAACTTATGGAATTATGCTCTCGCGAAGTTAGCGGTCTCGGCGATGTTTGCGGATCGGCAATTTTGCCCACTTTGAGCCCCATTTTCGGCCATTTCCACTGTACTAGTCGACAAAAAACATGAATATTTCGCTAGAACTCCATTTTTTCTATTGAAAGTGCAAGAAACCATCCATTTACCAATTTCAACTATCCAGTACAGTGGTCAGAATTTAGCAATTTTGCCAATTTCACACAAATTTCAAAAGATGCCAATTTCCGAATAGGGTCCAGAACAAACAAGAAATACATTCCTGGCACTAAAATGACATTTCCTCTGTTCATTAGTCACGTCTCAAGGCCCCTCTTACATTCTTTTGCTTTCCACTTTGAATTTTTATTCTCACAAAAAATAGAAGATTTACTGTTATGCAGACTACTGCATTAGTGTAAAAAATGGTATGAATCATATTGGCGCACTTGCAAAAGAATATTAGACTCACCAGTTGACGTGTATTGGACGCTTGGCATGATTTGTTTACTTTTGAACTTTGGTAAAAATCGAACGTTTCTGCTACTTTGAGCTCAATTTCAAGGTACTTTTCATTGTAAAACCAGTCAAAATCATCTCAATTTCTATGATATGCCTTCCATTCTATAAAATGAGACCAAGAAAACTAGAATACAACAATAAATACCATACGAAAATACAGTGCAAAGTCGCTGTTTTATTCCAAAAAAATGGTCAAAGTTTTTTTTTTCTCATTATGCATTGTGTGCTGCAGGATTTTTTTTATACCATGCACACTGACCACATAGACCCATTCTTTCATATGGAGGCCAACCAGCTTTCTCCCACTAGATTTGAGGGCACTAGAATTTAGGCATACTAGTACGTCAAAAACCCTGGGTCGTAAGCCGTACTAGTACGTCCGAAACCCTCAAAGGGTTAAGAGATACATGTACTTACATATAATATTAAAACTTTTACAGTACCTTGCAACATAAGGGTGCTTCAGAGCTTGCTCTGCTGTTAGTCTTTTATCAGGACTAAATACCAGCAACTTTTCAATCAAATCTATGGCATCGTTGGGTGCACCTGCCAGTACATCTTTGAGTGGCTTGGGGGTTCGACCTCCATGGGGTTTACTGAGCAGTGTAGAGGCGTACTGGGATGAAACAAGATGGAGATCTGTGGAAAATGAATGAAGCTTAGTATGATAATTCCTCATGGGAGGTTCCTTGATGCTACCGAGGGGCTCCTGATCAAAGGAACCAAACCTGACCTCCCCTTCCTTGAATCAATCCAGATTGCTTTCCATTTCTCCAGGCAGTGTGTGATCCCTATGAGTTTTTCACTGCACCATGAATGTTATAATAGATAATTAGCAAGATAACTTAAGTCGTCAAATTCTCAAAGCACACTCAACAGGTTATCAGATTTAAACATAATTATCACCTCTTTGGTTCATATAATTCAAATTTTATCTACAGATACAATAGGCTTTAAGTCTTTCTAGAATCCAATTTGCAACAGAAAAACTAAATTGTTCGTAAAAGTTTTCTCTGCTAACCAGTTAGACCAATCATAAATAAAGTCATAAGTTTTCTGTGTTACCCAACTAAGACATTCTACTGGGCAAACTACTAGCCAATGTTCTTCCTGATGCCTTTGACTCAATCAAAAAGCTGTTGGCTTCTATTCTCAACAACTACTGATATTTTTATTTTTTTCTACTAGTATTAGCAGCTGGACAATTTTGCCCTATAAAATTTTATTTAAAACCTACGAAAATTCGCATAAAACGTGGACATCAATATTCGTTAAAAATGATGGAAAAAGAAAACCTCTGTGGCAACATTAATTAAAAATAATTTTATGTAACAACAATTACCTTCTCTGGACGGAGGAGATATAATTGACATAATTCTCTCAATTTGGTCAAGTGTCGAGGAACCAGGAAACATTGGTTTACCAAGCAGCATTTCTCCAAGAATGCATCCAAGGCTCCACATGTCCACTCCTAAAGTATATCTGCCAATGAGAAATTTAATTAAAAACAGAAATGTTCAATTTTATTGCTTTCATAAATAATATACAGTAATATTATTAATAATAACCTTTATTTCTTTACGCCGTACAAATAATGTAGTTAAAATGAAATAATGCAATAGTAAGCACAAAGAAAGCAGGACTGTTATGCAATTAACTACAATCATAAGTACGATAAGAAAGGTAGCTAATAACAAAAGGCCAATTACAAAAGAATTATATATTATTTAAACTGATTAAATGATCTTCAGTTTTGTAGAGTGATTATTCTGAACAGAGATGGTGAAGATACAGCAAACTGTAATGAGCAAAGTTTGTGTAACCATAGTTTTTAGTAACATTGTAATAATTCAACAAACAGCAAATGTCCCATTAGATTGCAAAGAAATTACTGAGGATAGCAAAATGTCAAGGCAATGATAGGTTAAATATGTATTAGACTGAAAGGAGGGAGTCTTGAAGCAATAGATGTATTTGTATATTTGGGAGCAGATATGTCAGCAGCTGGGTCTATGAAAGATAAGTTGAACCATAAAATACATGAAGGGAAAAAGGCAGGTGGTGTGTTGAAGCATCTGTGAAAAGAAAGTTTATCTATGGAGGCAAACACTGGAATGTATTAAAGAACAGTTGTACTATCGTACCCAGGTACCTACTTAGAGATAGGTGAACAGGGACAGCAGCTGAAGGAAATATGCCCAACAATTTTACCCATGTCAGAAATCAAACCACAGACAGGCAGTGTGTGAGGCGACAGCATTGCCAACCAAGCATGCAGAGGTTTGGAGTGTATGTATTAAAAGATAGTGTAGGTTGCCAAAGTGGATTGGGCATTTAGAGAAGGGAAAGGGACATGATGATGGAGAGGGTGTTTGAATCTGAAGTGGTAGGTAACTGCCCACAAATGGTTGGAGGGAGGAGGTAACAGAGGCTTAGAGCATCCAGCAGGATTCTGTGAGCATGTTAGATAGGAGTGAATGGAAACAAGTGGTTTTTAATGAACGTGCTGGTGGAGTGTGGTACCATTTACAAAGGGATTCAGAGAAACTGGCTAGACTGACTTGAGCCTGGAAGTGGGAAGGGCTGTGCCTTCATTCCGAAGGAGTGGGAATATTTTTTTTTTTTAACACACCAAACGTCTCCCACCAAGGCAGGGTGACCCTTCCTTTTATATTTAGTAATTTATACAAAAGAAGGGGTTATTATCCCCCTGCTTCCAGCATTTTAGTTGGCTTTTATGACACTTATGCCTTATGGAGGAAGGATTTTTTATACTTCCCTAATGAGCATTATTATTATTATTATAGTCATTCATTACCGCTTATTATTCATTCTTGAAATTCAATATGCATTTCTAACAATATATTCTGTATTCTTCATAGCTTCACTAGAATTACATTCTAAAATTTCTTATATTACCAATGACTAATAAATAGTGACTGCTTAGCTTATGTTGTATAATCAAGCTAAAACACTGAATTATTTAACTGCAGTTCCAAGTGCTTTTTTCACATCATAAAAGTAATTTAAGGCATTGTAATGTATGCTTCATATTCTACATTTAGTTGTTTGTTTACAAAAGAGAAATTCTACATGGAAAGAAGAAGAAGACTGAGTTACTTGTTGACAGTCACTTACTGGAGCATCAGGATTCTCCAGTTAAGTTGCAAAATTGACTAAACCTGCCATGATATACACACCTTTTTGAATTCAGCAAAATTTCAGGAGCACGATACCATCTTGTCGCAACATAATTTGTCAGTGTAGGGTCACCTTGAGGTTCAACACGTGCACACGGCTCTACGGAACGTGCAAGTCCAAAGTCTGCAACCTTAACGCGACAGTCACTGTCTAACAGAAGGTTAGATGGCTGAAAATAAAAATTTGATATCAGAAAATCATGATTAAATACTTAAAACTTAGACATACACTATATTTTGACTATTCCCATACTGTTTTAATTTTGAATATCTGAACCAGAAATGACAAAGATATCTGTCAAAACTTAAAACTGTTATAAATTGTACTGTAAAGTATAATACTTGACATTAATGGTAAAATCAAAGATTATCATGAAAGTCAATTGTACTATTGTATCAAAATACTAGAACAGTAATTCTAATAAAACACTTCTAGACCTTAATTAATACAGTTCCTGCACTATTTGGTAATTTTTCATTTGATTTTTTTTTTACCTCACTAAGACAACAATTTGACCTGTCCTCCCTTTCCTTGGATCAAACCTGATTGCTTCCCATTCCACCCCCAAGTGCTGTATAAATCCTACAAGTTTAACACTTCTCCTCAAATGAAATAATACTTTGCATTCTTACCCTAATTTTATTAAGAAGTGTAGAAGTGCTGTGCTATATCCTAGCAGTGGTACCTATTAAATTCATCTATATACAGTGAACCTACACTTAACCTAGATATGGGCCAAAGCAATGAATAATTAAGCTAAACATACATAAATTGAATCTTATAAAAGCCCATTTTATAACTTTTTTTTCTCAGGCACCGTCTTGCCAGGTGTGTAGGAGAAGTTTTTGTAACTGCTTACCTGTAGTTAAATACATATATGCTTCTGCAGGTTTATGTAACAAACTATATTAACTTAATGCAAGACAAAGAAAACAAAATTTTAAGAAAAACTGAAAGCATTAAAAATTAATGTTGGGCACTATGTTAAATAATTGAAGTTGCAATATGATAAGTGCTAATGATATTACATTAACTAAAATAAACAGAACAACCATCATCCAAAACAGCATGCAAAACTATAAGCTTTAGCAGTTAATGTAAGAGAACAGTAGTTACTATATAACAACTAACTTTGAGATCTCTGTGTATGACAGAGCCTGAGTGTAGGTAACGAGCAGCTCGGAAGAGCTGATACATAATGTAACGTCGGTGAATATCTTCTAAAACATTGCCTTTCTTGATGACATTATGCAGGTCAGTTTCTGTAAGGAAATTCTCCCATAATGCGACATCCCACTCAAAAGAAACATGCTTGATACAGACTAAATATGTTGTCCTCTTTTCCAAATGAGCACACACAATTCTATATTAAGACCCTATAAAATGTATATGCAACAGATTTAATTTGCTGCTTTGAAATATACAAAATATTAGATGTCTAAAATGCAGGGAATTAGAAAGATTAAAGAGGAAGAGAATTAGGAAAAGAAGGAGAAGCAAGAGAAAGATAAAGGAAAATAATACTGATAATTTGCAGGAAGGGAAGGAAAAAGGCGAGAGGATATCCGAAAGATAACTGTTGCAGATTCCAGGGTTCATCACCTCCATAAACTGGTTCCAGACTGGGCTTCCTGATTAATGATCTGATCAGTCAGCCTGTTAATGCTTGCAGAGCATAACTGATCAGGAACTGACTGAAGGAACTTATTAAGTTCCCTTTTGAAGATAACAAGGGGTCAATTGCTAATTCCCTTTATATAAGAAGGGAAGGTGTTGAAAAGTCTTGGGCCTTTTACACTTACTAAGTTATCTTTTAGGGTGTTTAAAGATAAATGAGCAAGTGAAAAGAAGAAGAGGGTAAGATCAAACAGAAATGAAAAGTGAATAGGTAGAGACTTGAGGAAGTAAACAAGGAAAACTGATGAGATGTAGACGAACCCATGAACTGAAACACGAGGTAGATGTCCTTGTTGTTGTCTGCCCTCATCACATTGAGTAGTCGGATAACATTAGGATGTGAGGAGAACTCCAGCAGGAAGACAATCTCTCTGAAAGTGCGTTGTGCATCTGTCTCATTCCTGAAGGCATCAAAGATTTTCTTCACAGCCACCACCTCACCTGTCCGACGATCAATCGCCTTCCAAACGATGCCATAAGCCTGTAAAAAAAATTACTATCAAATGTTTTGAATAAAACACATTTTTATTGTACAGTATTTTAATGAAAGAGTATATATAAATATGAATTTCAAGGCAAGAATAAATTACACAAGATAAATGTAACTACATGGTCCTCAGACTTGATACTGTAGATTGAAACCAACCAAGTCACTGAGCCTTGATGAGCTCTTTTTTTTTTTCCAAGTATTCTAAAAAAATGTAAAGAGGAACTTAGCAAACGAATCACTACATATGGATATATTGGACAAGTGAAAAATGGCAAATATGATACCCATTCACAAAGTGGGAGATAGGTCCTTAGTTGCAAATTATAAACTGATCAGCCTAATCTCAAATGTGGGAAATTTAATGGATTCAATAACTGTTTATACAATTTGAAGCCACCTTCAAAGTTTTACAAAGGGGTGATCTTGCTTTACGAATGCCTTCATAAGGCAAGATATTCAAGGCAAGGCAAGGTATTTGAGCTGGTACACCAAGATAAAGAGTACAATACATATTATGTATATGGACGTCAGAATAAGTCCCACACAGAAGATCAATGAAGAAAACTGCAGCACATGATATAGAGGTTACTTCCTGGGTTGAGGCATGGCTGACAAATGGGCACAGAGTGTGTGTGTAGGAATGGCAAGAAATCTGGATGGAGACCCATTATTAACAGTGTGCCTCAGGGGCCAGTATTGGGACCTCTGTTCACAATCTACATAAACGACATATGCAGATGGGCCTGGATGGAAAATTATAAATGTATTTAGAAAGGATATAGCGATGTATGTAATGGTTTGGCAAGAGTTGTGGATAAGTGGAATAAACTCCCAAGTAGTGTCATCAAAGTGAGAACTTTGGGTAGTTGTAAATATAGGTTCAATGGGTATAGTACAGGCAGGCCTCATTTTACACTAATTTACTTTATGGCATTTTGCTAATGCAGTGGTTTTCAATTATACCCATTCTTCATATATTCAGACTTCTTACAATAAATATATTCACCACTCACTATAAGCCAGTGATTCCCAAAGTGGGTAATATTGCCCAAATGGGGCAATGGAAAGATCAAGGGGGGCATTGAGGAAAAAAGGTGGCAGTAGGGGGGCAGCAGGAGGGCAACAGGGTGGCATCAGAACTAGGGAAGCATTTGTTTTACAAAATCTCTGACAAAATCTAAGTCATGAACACTCGTAATACAAATGCTTTACGAAGAATAAAATTAACATAGAGTTATACACAAAAACATGGTTTTATTTTATTTTGTGGCCTGAAGTCAGTGTTAAAAGTATGAATATTTGTTCAGATGTGCCACAAGCCAGTCAGATCAGACAGCAGACACCGTGGGTACTGATGTTGACCAGATTTTTCACATCTGCAAGGGCCAAGGCTCTAAGTTTGTACTCACTGTAAGTTATCTTCAGTCTTATAATGTACATTTTAAAGTATAATATAATAAAGATATGAGTAAGTCATACTGATGAAGGGACACACCAAAGAGTGTGGAAATGTTGCTGTGCTAAAGCTGTGACTTGTAGTTCTTAAGTATTTGATTTTTAGTTTAACATTCATGCTTGTATTATTATGTCATGTACTTTTCCTAGTAAATGCAATGCAGACAATGACCTGCAAGTGTATTGTGCACACCTGAATAAGCTGCAAAGACATCTGACAGACTTCAGGATTTTTTTTTTTTTGCTTAAAATACCAGACTGGGTGCTCAATCAGTGTAGTTACAGATGAGATGTAAATTTACCCTTTCATATTGTTAAATAAATTGGTTTACTATGTTAATTTGTATTTGTGAAATAAATATGCTTGTTTATAGCATTAGATTAGGTGTTGTTTTGAATTTTTAATAAACCTAATACCAAGAAAGAGGTGTATTCATATGTGTGTGTGGGGAGGACGTTCTAGGAATGTGGCCTGGGAACCAAGGGGGCAGCAGCCCGAAAATTTTTAGAAACCACTGCTGTAAGCTAAGGACAAAAGTATTTAAAGTAATGTGCATACTGTATATGTATTTTTTAGGCCTAGCTCTATTGCTCACAAAAAAAAAAAAAAAAAAAAAAAAACACCCACCACCACCTTTGCTTCACGTTATAGCAGTACCTCGGAACCTAACCTGCTGTATAAGCGGTGCCCGCTTGTATGTGGGTGGGAGATGAAAATAAAACATGTGCAACACCTGGGTACCTTTACTTTGGACACCTTTCACCAATCACTGGCTTAATATAATTAATTCACTACAGAGAATAATTACTGGACATGGTGAAAGACGTGAAAGAAGTACATACATTGAGGTGATCAGTCTCTTAGGCCTGACATACCCCATTAAGGAGACAAATTACTGGAGAGGGTGGAAAATGTGTAGTAGTAGTTTCAGGTGATCAATCCCTCAGTCCTGAGATGAGTTGTTCAGTCATGGTGAATTTGATTCATCAAGACTGACTGAATCTTGATTATCATATTCATCAAGGCTGAGAGACTGATCACCTCAAACTACTTTACATCTTCCACCTTATACCTGGAGGGTGTTTCGGGAGTTTACATCCCCATGGCCTGGTTCATGAACTATCCTCACAGTGGATCAGAGCCTGATCAACCAAGCTGTTACTGCCGGCTGCACACAAACCAATGTACGAACCACAGCCCGGGTGGTCAGGAACTGACTTAAGTACCTGTCCAGCTCCCTCTTGAAGACAGTCAGGGGTCTATTGGCAATCCCCTTTATGTATGCTGGGAGGCAGTTGAACAATCTTGGGCCCCTGACACTTACTGTGTTGTCTTTTAGTATACTCATGGTGCCCCTGCTTTTCATTGGGGAGGAAGGATGTTGCACCACCTGCTGAGTCTTTTCCTTTCATAGGGAATACAGGTCAAGGGGCTTCAACCATTCCCAGTAATTTAAGAGGTTTACTGTACTAAAATGTGCAGTGAAAGTTCTCTGTATATTCTCCAGGTCTACAATTTCGTCTGCCTTGAAAGAGGCCATTAGTGTATAGCAGTACTCCAGCCTAGAGAGAACAAACAATTTGAAGTTTCTGGTAATTATTCTCTATTTTGTACTGAAAAAGCCACTGGCTGGCTGGTGCAACATCTCCACAGTAATGATACACAAGTGTTGCGTGTGTCCTGTTCACTTACTAAACAGCTTCATACACCAATAGCATAATAATGGGTATTAGTTGGACCTCAATGGAAATAAGTCACTTTGACTTTTTTGTGTAATCCTAGGTTCTCTATGTATATGCTGCTATGTATGATAATCTATGTAACTGTTTGTGTATACCTGAATAAACCTACTTACTTACCTAGTATGGGGTCAGTAGGCCTACTGCACTGTTTCTTCATTATGCTTTCAAATCGAGTTTAGGCTGTTTTTCTGTCTTCATCCAGTCGAATTGTTATTATCATTAGTAGAGTTGCTTATAATTATCACCACATTATGATGAACGAAGGTTTAACGACCAAAAAAGTGACAACGGGAAGTTACTGATTACCGAGTGATGACTGAAAAGTCAATTTGGTTCACCTGACAATTCATCCCATTCCCTTCTAGCAACCCTTCTAGAGGAGAGAGGGCCCTGAAACTGGTGCAGCTCCTGATCAAAGGAATTGGAGGCATTTTCCCTCTGGGTCCAGTCTGACAACTCATTTCCAATACACTGTATGACGCCTACGAGTTTATCACCGGTAATCATTCCCTTCTCAAAAAATAGTTTTGTATTTTTTTAGTCAAGCGTGGTTAATTAAACTAAATATTTTTATGTAAATCTGAGCCAGGTTAAGTTGTTAAGTAGTTTTGGTGCAAAACTGAAAAGTAGGAGTTGCCACTGTTGCTTTTTTGCCAATGACACTGTATTTTTTGGGGCATTCTGAAGAGAAGTTGCAAAGGTTGGAAGAGGAATTTAGGAGCATATGTAAGAGAAGAAAATTAAGTGAATATAAGAAAGAGCAAGGTGACGAAAGTATCAAAAAATCTAGACAATGAAACCATACCACGGGTAGGGATAGAACCCGCGACGGTCTGGAGTTTTGCGACTCTCTGATCGTGGGTTCTATACCCGCCCGTGGTATGGTTTGTTGGCAATCGTGTCATTACGATTCCGTGAGTCTAGACAATGAAAGACTGGGTATCAGAGTGGAGGGAGAGAATACGGAGGAAGTAAATATGATCAGATATTTGAGTGGACTTGTTAGTGGACGGGTTCATTGAAATATGAGATGAGTTATACAGTAGAATTTACAAGGAAGAAGATGGGTGGTGCGCTGAGGAATCTGTGGAGGCGAAGAACTTTATCTGTGGAACCAAATGGGGAAATATACCAGAGTATAGTTGTACCTCTCCAGGTAAAATGTGAGCAGTCATGAAGGTCTCTTCACGAAATTCAATTTCAATAACAAAAACATACAATGGGATCAAGTAAACCATGTCCTAAATGAAACAAGCTGGGAAGATATCCTAAACAACATGGACCTGAACATTTGCCTTGAAAAAATTAATTCTGTGGTTCTTGAGATCTACTCAAGACACATTCCATTAAGAAAAAGAAAGAGAAGATGTAAACTAGAAAGAGACGTTCCCTATACAGACGAAGGCGAAGAGTCCCAGAGCTGCTGAGTGGGGTCAATATATCTGAAATACGAAGGGAAGCACTAGTCAATGAAATTGCAAATATCGAACTTAAGCTGAAGGAATCTTAAAGGAGACAAGAATCACAGGAAGAACTAAAAGCCATAAAGGAAATTAAAAAAAAAAAAACTTCTTCTCTTATGCCAAATTTAAGGGAAAAACAACATCCAGTATTGGGCCCCTGCTTAGGCGGGATGGGACATACACAGATGATAGCCAAGAAATGAGTGAGATACTAAAGTCCCAATATGACTCAGTGCTCAGCGATCCACTGCCCAATCCAAGGGTCGACAATCCAAATGAATTCTTTATGAATGAAACCCAAAATTTGGCCATCCCAAAACTCTCGGATATTATTATAACTCCACAAGATTTTGAAGGGGCAATTAATGACATGCCCATGCACTCTGCTCCAGGCCCAGACTTGTGGAACTCCGTGTTTATCAAGAACTGCAAGAAGTCCCTATCGCGTGCCTTTAGCATTTTATGGAGAGGGTGCATGGGCACAGGGTTCATCCTACACACACTAAAAACAACAGACATAGCCCCACTCCACAAAGGTGGCAGTAAAGCAATTGCAAAGAACTACACACCGACAGCACTAGCATCCCATATCATAAAAATCTTTGAGAGGGTTCTAAGAAGCAAGAGAGCCAACCACCTAGATACCCATCAGTTACACAACCCAGGTCAACACGGGTTTAGAACAGGTCGCTCCTGCCTGTCCCAGCTTCTGAACCACTATGACAAGGTCCTGGATGCGGTAAAGGGTAAACAAAATACAGATGTATTATACACAGATTTTGCAAAAGCTTTCGACAAGTGTGACCATGGTGTAATAGCACACAAAATGCGGGATAAAGGAATAACGGGAAAAGTTGGTAGATGGATCTACAACTTCCCGACAAATAGAACACAAAGAGTAATAGTAAACAGAGTAAAGTCCCAGGCAGCCATGGTAAAAAGCTCTGTTCCACAAGGCACAGTACTCGCTCCCATTCTATTCCTAATCCTCATTTCTGACATAGACAGAGATGTAAGCCATAGCTCTGTGTCTTCCTTAGCGGATGACACCCGGATCACCATGGCAGTGACCTCCATCGAAAACACTGCGAGACTCCAAGCGGACATCAACCAAATCTTCGAATGGGCCACTCAAAACAATATGAAGTTCAATGAAGAGAAATTTCAACTACTCAGATATGGAAAACTTGAATAAATTAAAAATGTGTCAGGGTATACCACAAATTCTAACCATACAATAGAGTGGAAAAGTAGTGTGAAGGACCTGAGAGTGATAATGTCAGAGGATCTCGCCTTCAAAGACCACAACAATGTATCTACCTCATCCGCTAGGAAAACGATAGGATGGATAATGAGAACCTTCAAAACTAGGGACGTCAAGCCCATGATGATTCTCTTCAAATCGCTTGCGCTCTCTAGGCTGGAATACTGTTGTACACTAACAGCCCCCTTCAAGGCTGGCGACATTGCAGACCTGGAGAGTGTACAAAGAACTTTCACAGCACACATAAGTGTGATAAGGCACCTAAACTACTGGGAATGGTTGAAGGTCCTTGTTCTGTACTCCCTCGAACGCAGGTGAGAGAGATACATGATAATATACACTTGGAAGGTCCTGCAGGGATTGGTACCAAACCTGCACACGAAAATCACTCCACATGAAAGCAAAAGACTCGGCAGGAGATGCAACATTCCCCCGATGAAAAGCAGGGGTGCCACGAGTACACTGAGAGACAACACAATAAGTGTCCGGGGCCCAAGACTGTTCAATTGCCTCCCAGCATACATAAGGGGGATTACCAATGTCACTGACGTGTATAGTATGCAAAGTCATGAAGAAGATTATCAGGAGGAGAGTGGTGGAGCACCTGGAGCAGAACAAGATTATAAACGGCAGCCAGTACGGATTCATGGAAGGCAAATCCTGTGTCACAAACCTACTAGAGTTTTATGACAAGGTAACGGAAGTAAGAAATGAGAGGGAGGGGTGGGTTGATTGCATTTTCTTGGACTGCAAGAAGGCCTTCGACACAGTTCCTCACAAGAGATTAGTACAGAAGCTAGAGGAACAGGCACATATAACAGGAAGGGCACTGCAATGGAACAGAGAATACCTAACAGGGAGGCAACAACGAGCCATGGGCCGTGATGAGGTATCACAGTGGGCACCGGTGATGAGCGGGATCCCACAGGGGTCAGTCCTGGGACCAGTGCTATTCTTGGTATATGTGAACGACATGACGGTAGGGATAGACCCAGAAGTGTCCCTGTTTGCAGATGATGTGAAGTTAATGAGGAGAACTAAATCAGACACAGACCAGACAGGTCTACAAAGAGACCTGGACAGGCTGGATGCGTGGTCCAGCAGCTGGCTTCTCGAATTTAACCCCGCCAAATGCAAAGCCATGAAGATTGGAGAAGGGCAAAGAAGACCGCAGACAGAGTATTGGCTAGGAGGCCAAAGGCTGCAAACCTCACTCAAGGAGAAAGACCCAGGAGTGAGTATAATACCGAGTACATCGCCAGAAGCACACATTAACCAGATAACTGCTGCGGCATATGGGCGCTTGGTAAACCTGCGAATAGCATTCCGGTACCTCAGCAAGCAATCGTTCAAGACTTTATACACTGTGTACGTCAGGCCCATACCTGGTCAAACACGTCAAGAAATTAGAGAAAGTTCAAAGGTTTGCAACAAGGCTAGTTCCAGAGCTAAGGGAAATGTCCCATGAAGAAAGGTTAAGGGAAATTGGTCTGACGACACTTGAGGACAGGAGGGTCAGGGGAGACATGATAACGACATACAAAATACTGCGTGGAATAGACAAGGTGGACAGAGACGGGACACAGAAACAAGGGGTCACAATTGGAAGCTGAAGACACAGATGAGTCAATGGAATGTTAAGAAGTATTTCTTCAGGCATAGAGTTGTTAGGAAGTGGAATAGTCTGGCAAGCGATGTAGTGGAGGCAGGAACTATACATAGTTTTAAGACGAGGTATGATAAAGCTCACGGAGCAGGGAGAGGGAGGACCCAGTAGCGGTCAGTGAAGAGGTGGGGCCAGGAGCTGAGTCTCGACCCCTGCAACCACAATTAGGTGAGTACAATAGACCCCTGGCTCTCTTCAAGAAGGCACTGGACAGGCACCTAAAGTCAGTACCTGACCAACCGGACTGTGGTTCGTACGTCAGCTTGCGTGTGGCCAGCAGTAACAGCCTGGCTGATCAGACTCTGATCCACCATGAGGCCTGGTCTCAGACCGGGCCGCGGGGGCGTTGACCCCCGAAACTCTCTCCAGGTAAACTCCTGGTACACCAACACTTATGCGAGTGTGATGCGTGAGTTTTAAATCTTTCAGTAAGGAGGCGGCTAGAGGCTGTGTAGATGTTATGTTTGAAGGCGTTGGGTGGTGCATTATGCAGAGAAGCCAGAGCTTGGAGATTAGGTGTTGGGTTGCCAAAAGTATTATTCAGAGGGCTGAGGAGGGGTTATTGAGGTGGTTTGGACACTCGGAGAAGACGGAAGAAAACAGGATGACTAAGGAAGATGTATAAATCTGGGGTGGAGGGAAGAAAGGGTAGGTGGGTCATCCAGAAATAGCTGAGGATAAAGGAGGTTTTGAGTGACAGGAGCTTGGACATCCAACAAGGTTATGTGAACACAACCCTGTTAGATGTGACCAATTACGACCCTACTGTCTCCTCCCACAACCCCTGTAGAATTATGGGATAAAATAGTAATGTCACAGTCGGTGCTGCTGATACAGTCATGTCAAGGATGTTATGGATGTAAAATCATAATTTTTTTGTAAACTCTCTGGCTGTGTGGTTACAGCGTTGTGTCTGCTAAATGCATGGACCACGCTTCGAGTCGCCTTCCATTGTTCTGTTTAACTGAATTTAATAAAGAATAAAAAGGTACAATATCGTGACTGGAACAATACACAAAACCTGCGCCGAAGCGTTGTCATAAGCTTCCCTCTCCTATGTGAGGGTTATG